CCCAGTTGGAAAAATTCAGGTCAAGTACTTCACTTTATCGATTTTCTTGCACACTGATATGTGGATATGTTTATCTTCCTTGCATTCACCTACGTACCTATCTGCTAGCTGGTGCATTTACATGCTTAGATATTCCATATATCATCCAAGTGAGAGTTAGATGGGTTTGTTGGTAAACTCTTTGCTATTGCTATATGTGATCGTGGGAATAGTTTTTCCTTTTCCTTATTTTCTTTTGTATGGGATATAGGAATTTGAATGTGTTACAATAATTGAAAACATAGAGCATTGGTTTTCACATTGATTAGTTTGAATGCCACGTTCATTCTTGTGGAACCTTTATGAATGATGATAACAAAGTCTGGTGAACTTGTTGGACTCGTCATATCATAGTCTGGTGCTGTCAATGTTAGGCTGCAATGTGTAGTTACCTTGATTATTTTGTACAACAAATTAGAAACATTTCAAGACATATTGCACGACAAGTTGTAAGCTTTCACAGATTACCATGCAATGAGTAAAAAAAGAATCCAACACTAATGATAAAATCTGTTTAGAACAACTTTCTAAGTTCTCATAAACGTTTTTTCTATGCACTTAAAAACATTTTTTAAGCTCTTAGAAGCATGTGCTAAGTTGACAGTATAATAGATTGCATTTGAAAGAAGTAGTTCTTTCTAGGATCTAGATACCAAGCAGTTTTCTTCATATGGGAAACCTTGCCTTCCACCTTGTATTTTTATTCGTAATAATAAGATCCATTGCTACTTTTTCTATTCTGAAAAGTTGAACTAATGTTCTGCTCACATAAATGTATCCCTAGATATTTTGTGTAACTGGGCACTCCTATAGTTATGAAATCAATTTGCTGCTATTGCTACAGTTTCTATTCCATGTACGGACATGTTGAGAGACTTGCAGAAGAGATTAAGAAGGGGGCTGAATCTGTAGAGGGTGTTGAAGCCATGTTGTGGCAGGTAACGTCTGAAAAACTTACATTTGAATAACTTTTTCACGAGCATGATCTGCTAGGGGGTATAGCTTTTCAGTTTAAAGTCTCTACGTACACCCATTTTCTAGTGCCATTGACTAGTTTCCTTTTGATGACTAATCATTTCATATAGGCTTATCCAATTTGCAAAACGTTTTGATCCCTTTACTTTCAACTGTTCGTATAAAAGTTTGTTGTATTGTTCCTGCTGTAGTAGTCTTTTTTATTGTTCTTGTCGTTCTGCAATTCCATGCCTGACAAACTCTAGTCTAGGTTCCCGAAACTTTACCAGAGGAAGTCCTTGGAAAGATGAGTGCACCACCTAAGAGTGATGTACCAATAATCACCCCCAGTGAACTCTCCGACGCCGATGGGTTTGTTTTTGGCTTCCCGACTAGATTTGGGATGATGGCTGCTCAATTCAAAGCATTTCTGGATGCCACTGGAGGTCTTTGGAGAACCCAACAACTCGCAGGCAAGCCTGCTGGTATCTTTTATAGTACCGGATCCCAGGGAGGTGGTCAAGAAACTACAGCGTAAGTTCAACGTGTCATTTATTTTACTCTGATAAACTAAACACATCTCGAATAATATGAATTCGATCATAATTGGAATATCCTGAACTGAAATCAAATGCATCACAACAGGTTGACTGCCATCACTCAACTGGTTCACCATGGAATGATATTCGTACCGATTGGTTACACTTTTGGCGCTGGCATGTTCGAGATGGAGCATGTTAAAGGTGGAAGTCCATATGGAGCTGGAACATTTGCAGGTGATGGCTCGAGACAACCATCCACTCTTGAGTTAGAGCAAGCCTTCCACCAAGGAAAGTACCTTGCTACCATCACAAAGAAGCTCAAGGGATCAGCCTAAACTTCTGTTTACCATATCAAAGATCCTGTTTGAAAAACCATTTCCCATTTTTTTCACCATTTCAATTTCAATTTCCTTGCAATAAATCATTGGGTTGTTTGTTTGGTTTTGTGTATTGTATTATCGTGCATGTGCCTCACAGTATAGTCCTTTTAAATGAATACATGTGTGCTATTTAGTTTCAAATTCCTCATCATATGCTTTCTTTCCATTTTGGCTTTGCTGTTTATTTGTGTTTGCGAATACAAACAAATTCTCGGACTGCATCGTTATCACGGGAGCTCGAAAAGATTAGCAACCTTTTATCGGCCTTAAGAGGAAAGGATGTAAATTTCAGACATGGGAGAAGTCTCTCTCCAAGAAATAACCTCATCATTAAGCTCAATAAAGTCTTAACAAAAAACTACCCTACCATCATGGACCATTATATTCATATGCCTTTCCTGTCTCTTGGTTTCAGAAATAAAAAGCTTACACTAAGTCTTCCTTTTATGTGAACGAGTGAACTTGTAGAGTAGTTATGTATGATGGAAGTTAGTGATCTTCCACAAGATAATTTAGAATTTTTTAAATATGTAGCTATGTCTTTTCTTTTTCCACTGACACATTCAATGGTCCACTATGTCTTTTTTTTTTTTTTAAATGGTGAAATACAATGGTCCACTCTTCTTTACAACGTTTGGATTTCTCAAGAAATCTCGAAGTCACACCAAAACTAAGTAAGTTGTGTCTTCCATATGCTAAGAACTTAGGTCCTTAAATTTTATTCTTGAGTTTTGAGTTCTTGTCATGATCTAGCTCAAGGACCTTGGTCTTGGATTTTGATCTAAAGACCTTTAGATCTATGCTGGTGGGTTCTTAGTCTTAAGAACTCAAATCTTGATCCATGTTCAAGTTTACACAAATCATAAGAGGCTCAAGTATCTGTTCACGAAGATGAAATTGAACATGAGATAGAGGAAGTGGCTAGAGTTGGTGAAGAACTCTGACATCGAAATCCTCTACCAAATAGGAAAAGCCAACATAGTGGCTGATTCATTGAGAAGAAAAATGGCCTACACATATCACGAAGCAAAGCGTACTACAAGATGAGATGTAGAGGACTGAAATTGAGTTTATGGTCAGAGGTAAAGCACAGTTATCTATCCAACCCCCTTCGAAAATGTATCATAGACGTCTAGAAAACAAATATGCATCTTAGTAAGGTCTAGAAACATCAAGAGAGAGAGATCATAGGAATTTTTGGTCGCATGAGAGGGGATATTGATGTGGCAAAATCTTCTGTGCGTGCCTTAGGATGAGATTCTAAAATATCATGATTGAAGCCCACATTCCATCTTATAAATTCAAGGAGATCCTTGAAGTGCAAAGATGTACCAAGACTTGAAAGCCAGTTATTGGTGGCTAAGAGTCAAGAAAGAACTAGCAAAATTGGTGAACAGATGTTTGACTTACTTGCCAGCAGGTAAATGCCTTAAGAGAATGACCTATTCAGTTGTTACAACCATTGAATGTACCTGAGCGAAAATGTGAATAAGTTAACATACATTTTATCTTAGGTTTACAAAGAACCAGGCAACGCTTCAATATCATTTGGGTTGTCATTGACAAATTGGCCGAGATAACTCACTTCATCTTAGGCAAGGCCATATAACAATTAGACCAATGGATTGAGTTATAGAGATAGTCCATCTACATGGCGTGACAGTTTCCATCATGTTAGATTGAGACGACAGATTCACCTCGCATTTCTGGAAGAGTTTGCAGAAGGCGTTGGGTATGCGACTTAGGTTTAGTACAACTTTTCATCCACATACGGATGAAAAGATCAAGAGGATGAATCAAATTCTAGAGAATATGTTGACGAATTGTACTATAGATTTCACAAGTTGTTGGGAGAGCACTTACGCCTTATGAAACTCATCTACAATAATAGTTATCAAGTGACTATCCAAATAGAAATATTGGAAACTTTGTAAAGGCATAGGTGCCGAACTTCGATATTCTTGGAAGAGGTAGGCAAGCAACAACTTTTGAAGTCGAAGTTATGCAGGTTATTAATGAAGTAGTGAAGAAGATTAAGTCAAAAGATACTAACTACGCAAAACCGACAAAAGAGCTGCACAAGCTCTCATAAGAAAGATCTCGAGTTTGGCATGGTGATCATGTTTTCTTGAAGTGTTAGGATTTGGGGAGGATAAGTTTCTACTGAAGATAGGGCATGTGGCGTAATGACTAGCATTGCCAACCACCCTTGTTGCAATGCACAATGTGTTCCATGTCTATTGTGGAAGAAGTACACTTTGAACCCTCCGAACCCTACTGGCTCAGGATGTGAAGCAATTGCACATTGAGGGTACTTCCTTGGTCAAACTTCCGTAGGAAAACTATCAAAATGATGAGGTGACTTGGGAACGATGTGAAAAAGTTGTAACTCGAGCTCTTTTGAGAATAATTAACTTTTAGGGATGAAAGTTCATAAGAAAAAGAGAATTTGTAATACCCGAACTCAATAGGTATGTAAAATTTTCTCCGCTTTTCCCTTTTTATTCCAAAGTTTACAAATTTTATTCAAGTCCTTGGAGGTTGAATTTAAGGTTAAGCTAGAAGGAAAAAAAATGCTTAAAAATCCCCAAAAACCTTGAAATAATATAGAGAAGGTGGAGTCCAGGCAGATTTCCAAGAATGGTAAGAACATATTTTTCTCTGTACTTTGAGTGTGTTTGGTTATTCCTCTGGTAAATTATTAATTACAAAAAAAAAAAAAAAATTCATATATAAAGATAGATTAAGACTCACAACTCCAATTGAAATTTGTAGAAAAAGTTATTTAAATCCAAAGAAATTAGAAAAGATTAGGATGATAAACAATTTTTGTATAATATATGAGTTAAAGAAGTTACTAATTTATGCTCCAAATTTTTAAGTGATTTATTTAAGAGAATTGTTAGTGATTTTTAATTTGAGGAGAAAGTTTAGAAAGTTTGGTTAGTTCATTCTCTCCTGCTGCTCTCTATTCACACCAAAATTGAAATGTAACGATACACCTTACGAGGAGAGAGGAGAGAGAAAAAAAAAGGGACTTTCGGACTAACGACGCGCCACTGGAGAGTGGAAGCAGACGCGCCACCGGATAACGGATGAACGACGACGCATCCACTGGCGACAGTAGCCAAGCTCTGCGATTAGGACCGTCGGGACTTTCGGACGAGGAAGACGCAGCGGCTAGCGTGGGTCGACCCTCGGCATTCCGCGAGACGTCTCGGCCAGCGTGTAGCCCACCCTTCGCAGGCCGCGTTCGGACACCACCCCGGAGCCTCGTTCCCTTTTTGGCCCAAACCGGAGGCGCGCCAGAAACCCTGCGCCGGCGGTGTTCTTCGCAGCCATTGGTTTCTGCTCCATCGGCGGCTTCGCGAACCTCCGGCTCGACTAAGTGCAGCTTGGCAGTGCGACTTGGCGGCTCCACATCCGAATAGTATATCGATTCCTAGGTTTTTGACCATTCTGGAGCCATTCCCACCCTTGTTTCAACCATCTGAGGTCAGTATAACTCCATTTTTGACAAATAGCTTGCGATAGGGACGTACCTTGGTAGCTAGGCACGAGGGATAGTTGTGAAAGCGCTCTAAGTGTATCATGTTATCTTATAGGAGGTAGTTAAGCGCTGGAGTTAACGTTGTGGGTGACTTCAGCCAAGGCCAAGAAGGTAAGTAACCTTACTGCTGGCGTTAGTTATGTATGTATGTTGGTGCGTGCCCTGTGGCCCTTGCGTGCACCATATGTTGTTGCTGTATGCTAGGTTAGATGTTTCTTGCAGTGAAATGCTACGCATGCTATGTTTATGTATGTGATTCTGTCAGTGAATTGCTATGTATGCCATGTTTATGAATATGATGTTGTGAAACGGTTTGTTGCCCTGTATGTATGATGAGCTTGATTGACACGTCATGATTGTAACGAGAATCCCGCATGCCATGAATGAGGTGGCTAGTATGCTATGATATGCTTGCTCAATGTGGACCCAGTTATGCTATGTAAGGCGGCGAGGGGATGGAACGTTGTATGTATAATGCCATGGAGGTAAACCTTAAGAACCTCATGAACGCTAGGGTTATGTACCTAGGGCACTCCCCCGTTATGCTACTGATGGTATGGATGTGTATATTCTATATTGTGTTCGCCACGATATCCTGCAGGCCCTCCTTTGTCCGTGGCGTCCGGTATTGTATGTTATACATACCCGACCAAGCCAGGCCTAGGTAGTTCGGTGCGAGTTCGCCTGATGGGCCCACAGTCACACACGTGGGCCATGTGTGGGAAATTACCATGCATCCACCCCTGCCCGGACAAAGCAAGGGCCTAAGGCCATGGGAAGGAATGGAAGACAGACCCCTCTCTCAGTTTCGTTCTTCTAACACTGTGCGGCATGTATGGTTGTTATGTGTGGCATGTATGGTTATTATATGCAACATGTATGGTTATTATGTACAACATGTATGGTTATTATGTACGATGTATGGTTATTATGTGCGTTATGTATGGTTATTATGTGCTACATGTATGGCTATTATGTGCGACATGTATGGGTATTCTGTGCGACATGTATGTGTGTTGTGTGCGTCATGTATGTGTATCATGTGCGACATGTAGATGTATTGTGTGCGACTGCTTGTATCTGGATGTATGAATATATGCTTAACCCCAACAGTGGGGCAACTTACTGGGTATTTCCTATAATACTCAAGCCACGTGCTACCCATATTTTTAGGTAAGGGCAAGGCTCCCCATGTACGGTTGACGGTGGGTGATGCGAAGGTCCATGGAAATCTCGAGGAGAGTCTGTAGTGTCGTGGGCGCCTTGTTGGATTCTTTTGGGTTCATAGTTTTGCAATTGTTCCTCTAGTTCTCTGTTGATTACTTCTAGGTTAGGTTGTCGTAATTGTTTTCCTAGGTATGAACTGCTTATATTGATGAATGCATTATCGTTATTGAGACTGTCTCACGTAAACTCTTGTCCTGTTGATTGGACGAATATAAGGTAACGTCGCTAATTAGGGTAGAGAAAATTAGGGGCATTACATAAATAGTATAGGGCTTAAGAATCTTTAATGCAAAGAAACTCTTCCCTTAAATATGTGTATTAACTTATAGGCACAATACGTGTTGGATACCATCGATAATGGTAATGTCATCTACCAAGTAGTCCTAGAAGATGTTTTTCTCATGTTGGCAGAGAAGGACTCGATAGAGGTAATGTGGGAGACGCTGCAAACAATGCATGTGGGTGTGGAACAGGTCAATGAAGAAAAATTATAGATCTTGAAGAATAAGTTCTAGGCTATCCGCATGAAGAACGATGAGTCAATAGATGACTTTTCCATGAAGTTAACGATGATCGTTAGCGGCATCCGTTTGTTAAGCGACAAGTAGGAGGAGATCTCCGTTGCCAAGAAGTTCTCTCGAGTTGTCCTCCCAAGATTCATGCAGACTGTTACTTCCATTGAGGAGTTTGATGACCTTAAGAACATGTCAGTTTAAGAGGTCATTGTTCATATTAAGGTCAATGAGGAGAGACTTCGTGGCTACGACAACCGAGAGGAGGAGAAAAGTTTCTTACTGACATAAGAGGAATGGCTCGCATGAACAAAAAGGAAAGATGCCACTGATTCTTCATTTTCAAGTACAAATGTACATGGCAACCACAACAAGGAAAGTAAAGGTCGTGAGCATGGCCGCAGTTATGGCCGCAGAGGAGGTCATGACAATACCTCAAAAGTCCACGACAATGCCAACCCCTGGATGGACAACAGTATGATCAAATGTTACTCTAGCGGAAAATACGAACACTATGCGGTAGAGTGATGCAAGAAAAAGCAGGATGATGAGGCAAACCTCTGTTAGGATCGCACAACAACGCACACACTCGATCTAGATAAACACAAAGAACAAAATAGAGAAAATGCAAGGAGAATATTGACTAAAGGTTTTGTATTGATGACTATAGATATGTACAATAAGAGACAATACAGAAAGTACATTTTCAAAGCTCTCCTTGAGTAGATATATATATGGTTTAGCTTACTATATATAGCTTTACCAGATATAATCATCTAGTATATATAACTATTTATCATATATAGTTTTTTTTACTATACATAGCTATTTAATATTTATGACAATTTGTATGTTATTTACTAAATATAGCTTTACTACGTATAACCGTTGACTAAGCTATAAATGAGCAACATGCTCCATAACCTAACAATTCTCCCACTGGTCAACCAAGAATTTCATTCTCAAATGATCATGAGCATCTTCACTGCACTATACTAATTGAGGCTTTGCACAACCTCAATATTCCAACATCAACACATTTTGTTAACATGTTTGCTAGATTATTTGCACCCTCTATCTTCTCCAGTCATTTCACCATCTTCCACTAACCTGCAAGTGAAATGGTATCGCCTTCCGTGTTTTATCTTTAAATGATAGACCGAGTTTCTCACCAAATGTATGACACTCTGACTATCTCTATAAAGAATCTTTTCGTGCTGCTTCTTGCCCAATTCTTTCCGATAGTCAGTCATCCATATCATCTCTTTTCCAGCTTCAACTATTGTCATGCACTCAGCCTCAGTACAACGCATTTTTGAAGCCTAGACATCCCATCATCCATGGCTTGCTCCCACTTGGTTGTATCCTTCAACTGTAGGGCCTCATCAAATGGCTCTGGTTCCCTTTCATCAGCAATAGATAGTGTAATGAAGATACATACATATCTGGTACTCTGATAATACTAGATGATCTTCTCAACACCGGTTCATGTGTAACTTGCTCTACCGCTGGTTCCTCTGCAACAGTCTCAGGAGTTTCTTGAGTACCTACTACAACATCACTAGGTAATTTTTTTCACAACTCAACCTCAACTCCCACATGCTTCATTATCTTAGAACCTTGCTCCACATCTAGTTCCTCAGCAGTAGTCTCAGGAGTTTCATGAGTATCTGCTACAACATCACTAGGTGAGTTTCCCTGCAACTCAAGCTTAACTTCTACTTGCTTTGTGGTCTTGGAACCTTGCTCCACATCTGGTTCCTGAGTAGTAGTCTCAGGAGTTTCATGAGTATCTGCTACAACATCACTAGGTGAGTTTCCCGACAACTCAAGCTTAACTCCCACTTGTTTCGTGGTCTTGGAACCTTGCTCCACATCTGGTTCATCAACAGTAGTCTCAGGATTTTAATGAGTATCTGTTACAACATCACTAAGTGAGTTTCCTTGCAACTCAAGCTCAACTCCCACTTGCTTTGTGGTCTTGGAACCTTGCTCCACATCTGGTTCCTCAATAGTAGTCTCAGGAGTTTCATGAGTATCTGTTACAACATCACTAAGTGAGTTTCCCTGCAACTCAAGCTCAACTCCCACTTGCTTCGTGGTCTGGGAACCTTGCTCCACATCTAGTTCCTCAATAGTAGTCTCAGGAGTTTCATGAGTATCTGTTACAACATCACTAAGTGNGTTTCCCTGCAACTCAAGCTCAACTCCCACTTACTTCGTGGTCTTGGAACCTTGCTCCACATCTGGTTCCTCAGCAGTAGTCTCAGAAGTTTCTTGAGTATCTGCTACAACATCACTAGGTGAGTTTCCCTACAACTCAAGCTCAACTCCCACTTACTTCGTGGTCTTTGAACCTTGCTCCACATCTGGTTCCTCAACAGTAGTCTCAGGAGTTTCATGAGTATTTGTTACAACATCACTAAGTGAGTTTCCCTGCAACACAAGCTCAATTCCCACTTGCTTCGTGGTCTTGGAACCTTGCTCCACATCTGGTTCCTCAGCAGTAGTCTCAGGAGTTTCTTGAGTACCTGCTACAACATCACTAGATGAGTTTCCCTGCAACTCAAGCTCAACTCTCACTTACTTCGTGGTCTTGGAACCATGCTCCACATATGTATGGACCATTTCCAACCGCACTTTCTTCAATTCTCTGGCAGTTCTTGTGAAGCTAACTCATTTCTACTTACTCATAACATAGTTCTAACAACGACCCAGATCAACAAATTTCAGATCTTCTAAAACTTCTTTCTCAGCCAACATCCTCATTTCTTTCACGCTCATATGTCCAAGTCTATTGTGCCATAGACTTGAATTTGAAGCACTCTCAGCAACAACTGCTATGTTCATACACCCTGCAGTGGTGTATAAGGTTTCAGATTTTGTGCCACGTGCTACCACCATAGCACCCTTCATAATCTTCCACGAATTCTTCCCTAACTCTGTTGCATAATCTGTGCTGTCCAACTGACTAATAGAGATTAGGTTCTTCTTGAGACTAGGAATATATCTGACATCCTGTCCACTGATTTCCTGCTGGAGTTTTTATGCAGATATCCCCTTTTTCTTTAATCTCCAAATCTTTGTTGTCGGCAAGATACACCTTCTCGAAATTTCCAAACTTGAAATTTCGGAAGAACTCTTTATTTGGAGATGAATGAAAAGATGCACCTGAATTCAAAATTCAGGATTCAATCGAATTGTTTACACTGAGGATTAGAGCATCCCCAATGTCTTATGCTGAATATATAGAATCATCGTCATCACCAGATTTGTGATTATGCTTCCTCTTTGGTCTTGTACAATCTGTCCGAAAGTGACATTTTTCTCCACAATTCCAACACGTTACGTTTGGTCTATATGAAGATTTTTCTCGGTTCTTTGATTTTGATCGCCCTTTGTTTGAGCCCTTCGGTTTACTTCTTCCCCGTTGGTCAACACTAAGAGCACTACCAAATGAATTTTCAATTTCTCGTTTGCAATTAATTTCGCTGAGAACTACATCTCAAATTTCATCAAACTTCAGTTTATCAGATTCTTAGGAACTTCTGATTGTGGCAACAACAGTATCCCATGACTCGGGTAAAGACGACATCAAAATCAATGTTTTAATTTCATTCAAAAAATTAATCTCCACCGAACTCAGTTGACTTATGATCATATTGAATTCATTTATATGATCAATAATAGATCCACTTTCAGACATTTGTAGATTGAACAATCTTCACATTAAATACACCTTGTTCATACCTGATGGTTTTTGTACATATTTGACAATGCCTTCAACAGATATGGTGTTGTCTTTTCCTTGATGATGTTGAACGCCACGTTTCTGGATAGCGCCAACCGGATCAACCCTAAGGCTTGTCCATCCTTGAGCTTCCACTATTCCGTGGTTATGGTATTCGGCTTCACCCCCAATAGGGATTCAGGAAGACCTTTTTGATACAGATAATCTTCAATCTGCATTTTCCAGAAATCGAAATCGGATCCACGAACTTCTCAGTTCCAATCTTTGAACTTTCCATCTTCACAAATCGTGGTGACTTCCGCTTAGCTCTAATACCAGTTGTTAGGATCAGACAACAATGCACACACTCGATCTAGATGAACACAAAGAACAGGATAGAGAAAATG